TAAATATATGGTTGGCTCGGACTGCACGCCGCAGTGGGTACCTGAGTGTACCGGTATTTGCATTGCATTGCATTATGGCATTTTTCCTTACCTGTTACCTGTCATGGTTCTTTCTGTACTATTACTTTATTGACTTGTCGGTTTTACTGTTAAGTTTTGGTACTGCCTGGTATAGTGGCCTTTGGTTTTTCAGTGATTTCTTATCTTCAGTTGTTATTTATGCTTATTACTCACTGAGTCGGAGTACTCACTTTACTCCCTGCACTTTGTGTGCAGATTTAGGTGCATCACAGTCTGAGGGAGGACCTGTCTAGCTGGGCAGCATTTCACCGGGAGCATCGAGGTAGCTGCATGGCGTTCGCAGCCTTGATCCTTCCCTCCTATCCCTATCTTTCATTATTCCGTTTCTTAGACAGTCTTGTTATAGGATGACACTCTGTATTAGAGGCTCGTAATCGTGACACCGGATCCTGTTTTGGGTTATGTTCTAGTATTTTTGTTGGTTTCAGTATACTACTCCGTGCTCATAGTAGTTTGATAAGATGGTTTAGGAATTTAGTATCTGTGTTCGAATTCCTGAATTATCATAAGTTGAGATTTGTTGTTGAATGGTCGGGCTTGCTTAACAATGTGTTGGGCGCCATCATGACCGGGGTTTGGGTCGTGACATCAAACTTGTTCCAACATTCGGAACGCTCAAAACAACATCAAAACATCAAATCACCCTCGGATTCAAGCCTAAGAATTCCAAAACTTCCGAATTCCGAATTCGATCAAAAAGTCTATCAAACCTCGTCCGAATGACATAAAATTTTGCACACACATCACAAATGACACAACGGACCTACTCCCATTTCCGGAATTCCATTCCGACCCCGATATCAAAATTTCCACTGCCGACCGGAAAACGCCAAATTTCTAATTTCGCCAATTCGAGCCTAAATCTACCACGGACCTCCAAAATACATTCCGGACGCGCTCCCAAGTCCAAAATCACCTAACGGAGCTAACCAAATCATAGAAATCCAAATCCGAGATCGAATACTAAAAAGTCAAAACTTGGTCAAACCTTTCAAATTTCATGCTTCAACTGAGAACTGTTCTTTCAAATTCATTCCGATTACCCTGAAAAACCAAAATCAACGATTTACATAAGTTATAATACATCACAAGGGGCAAGCCATGCCCGAGAACTGGCAAGCGAAGTACAAAAGCTCAAAACGACCGGTCGGGTCGTTACAAACACTATTCATTAACACCATTACTATTCATCAATATTTTATTATGTAAAACCTTTAATTTAATATTTTATAATTACTTATATTTTTTATGTAATATCTTCATAATATTAATTTTACATTTTAATTTTGGTGTACAATATTTTTTTTTATATAAAATTTTAAGTTAATTTTATTGCAAGTTATAACTGTATAAAAATATATAACCATAAAATAAAAATAAAAAATGCAAATCTAAAATATAATATTTTGTTAATAAAAAATACAATATTCATTAAATAACATAAAAATAAATATTTAATACAGTAGTGACTGACATAGATTAAAATTAAAAATACATTAAATAACATAACAGGATGAACGTGATCTTACTGCACCAATTCAAGATGCTTGGTAAGGTCCAACTCCAACCATAGAAATGGTAGTAGATGAAAATTATCGATTTGCACCAAAATATTTATTTAGTTATATCTTATCAATAATTTCATTTTTATTTTTGAATTATCCATTAATATGTATAATTTATAATATTTGCTTACAGTTTATATTATTTAAAAATTTATGGTATAAAATAATTTTATATTAAATAGTTATACAAGAAACAAATATGAATTATATGGGATGAATATGTAAAAAAGAAAAAAGAAAGGATTTATTTTATGAAATAAAAAATAAATTTAAATTAAAAAATAATCTAATATAGAAGAGGGAGAAGAATATAAAAGGAATATTTTTTTTATGTAAAAAATAGTGTAATGGGTTGGAGATGCCCTAAAACTAATACCCAAAAATAAGATTTTATATATATATATATATATATATACACTTTTACGACTATCAAGTGTAAACAATTTTGGCCGGGGACTAAAAGTGATCTTTGGCCAGGAAATTATACAAAGTGCCTATTTGGGCCTTTTTTATTATCAGAAATTACCCATCAGAAACTTTTTTGCAAAATAATAGGTAGAAATGACACCAGATAGCCACTTGAAAAGAATGATATTTAGGAATTAGCCAGTGCTTCTTGAATTTCAGTTTTTTAGGATAAAATTGTCATGAATTGTCCTGAAATTAAAAGTTTTAGTTTAAAATTTCAGGACAAAATAAGTACTGGCTAATCTCCAAATAGCATGCCTGAAAATGGTTATCTCTGCACTTGCCCCAAAAATTAGAGCAAGTTACACATTTGTGTCAGGTTGTGACAGGTCAAAAATAATTATACTTGTTAGTCAAATATATATATATATATATATATATATATATATATATATATATATATATATATATATATATATATATATATAT